ACTCACTCACCTGCTCACTCACTCACCTGCTCACTCACTCACTCACCCGCTCACTCACCCACTCACCTGCTCACTCACTCAGTGGCTCACTCACTCATTCACTCGTTCACTCAGTCACTTACTCATTCCCTCACTCATTCACTCAGTCACTCACCTGCTCGTTCAGGTGACAGACATTTACTGGTACTTACTTTGTCCCAGGTGTCATGTAGGTCCTCGGGATACAAAATGATGTGTTACCCAGGTTGAGTTGGACAGCAGACCAGAGGCGCCACTGGGGTGTTTGCTGCAGAAATGGATCCCCTCCCTGCGGCCTGCTGTGCCTTTCTCCCGGACCCTGTTTTAATCTAGAAGTGGTGGGCTGTTAAACGTGTCTTTCTTACAGCATCTGAGCCATCTAAACAATAGTGTAATTCCTGGAAAAGGGGACCTACAAAGGGGTGAAGGGATGTCGGGGCCAGGAGGGTCTATGGAATTTCACACCTGCGACCTCTAAGGGGAGGGGTGAGTCTGTGGTCACATCAGCTTGACTGCTGTTGCTGAGCACATCCCCTCTTGGAGACTGGCTGTGAGCATGGTGTATCGAGAGCCAGGAGGGACCAGAAATCAACAGACACGTTAGCTTTCCTTCCTCAGAATGTCTGAAGCCGTCAGGCACAGAAGTCACCCGTGCCCCAACTCCCCGAATGTGGCACAGATCTGGCAGTGGTGGGCGTCTGGACAGCTCTTTGGGGTGTGTTGGCTTAAACTGGTCCTTCTGTGCCCTTTCGGGAAGGGGCCAGTACTGCCTGACCACACACACCTACGACGCCACGGGTCACCGTTGTGCCTGTCTGCCGTGGCGTGCCCCAGGGAGATGGAGCTTCACAGCTTATGTGAGGAAGCTGCTTAGCCAGGGGCAGTTTTGCCTGAAAGAGACACTCAGCAATGTCTGGAAACACTTTTGGGTGCGACAACTGGGGGGCTCCAAGTACTGGTGTGGGCCGGGATGCTGCTCCCCACCACGTGGTGCACAGGGCAGCCCCACCACAGAAGGGACAGGGCGAGGAGCCCACAGCCGTGCATGTGGCGCTGTCTGTCACGCGCCTGCCCGGGCAGGGTACGTGCTCACCACCAGGCCCTGCGTCTGACTGAGTCTGTGCGCGGTCCTTGCCCGGCAGGTTTCATGGCCCCCGAGCTGTTGCGGGGCGAGGAGTACGACTTCTCTGTGGACTACTTCGCCCTGGGCGTCACGCTGTATGAGATGATCGCAGCCAGAGGGCCCTTCCGTGCCCGAGGAGAGAAGGTAGGAGGTCACTCAGCATGTGTCCGGCAGCTGCTCTGTGACCACCCTCCGTGTGGCGGCCGCTGTTCAGGCCTAGAGCACGAGGGTTCTTGTGGTAAATCCTTCTGGGCAGGAGAGGGGACACGGTGTCCTCATCTCATGGAGCCTCCCACAGTAGGATGCATTTTAGGACCAGCCGTGCCTGGACCTCCCCAAACCCACCCCCACGAGCAGCCCGCAGCCCCCCACCCAGGCCAAGCCAGTCCCTCCCCCGCTTCGTGCTTCTACTGCAGACCAGCGAGCCCTCCGTCTGGCCTGTCAGCCTTTCTGAATAGGGGGCAGTGGGCATCGCATCGCTGTGCCCTGACCCCGGGGCCCCATGCCCTCCTCCTGCACTGTCTGCCCCAGAGTCTAGTGGGGGGTGCTCCTGGTACAGCCCCCAGAGCCACAAATCCAGGCTCACCTTGGAGACCTCGTGCGTCCAGCTCAGACCACTGCAATAAGGCAGATGCCATGGTCAAGTGAGTCAAATGAACTTCTTGGTTTCCCGGTGCACATAACAGTTATGTTTACAGCAAGCTGGAGTCTCCTGAGTGTGCAGTGGTGGTGTGTCTAAAAAATCATCGGTGTACCTTGATTAACAAACACTTGATAGCTAACCGTCCTCAGGGTTTTCAGTGAGTTGTGATCACTGGCTGCAGATCACCGTAAAAACTGTAGTAATAATGAACACGTTTGAAATATTGTGAGAATCACCAGAACGTGACAGAGACATGAAGTGAGCACAGGCTGTGGGAAAAATGGTGCCGACAGACTCGCTCGAGGCAGTGTTGCCGTAAACCTTCCATTTGTGAAGATGCAGTTTTCTTGAAGTACAATGAAGAGGTGTGCCCATAGACGGCATCTGGGGGCCTCATCTGCTGTTCCGATCAAACGGAGAAAAGCCAGCCTCTTCTTGCCGGGTGGTGCAGGCGGCTCCGAGGCACGGCGGGTGGCCGGGTGTGAGGGAACCAGAGCCGAGGGGGCATGGCGGGGCCGTGTAAACAGTAGTCTGTAGATGCACCCGGAGGTCACGCCCTTCACTTTCTTCTGTGGGGTCTCCTAGTGTGTCCGTCTGCAGGCCCACTCTGGTCAGCTGTGAGAACAAACCACGTCCCCGGTCTTCCGAGAGCAGAGGGTCTCACGTGGCTAACACGTAGCTGCGCCATGTCTCTGCACGTCCGCCCTGACTCTACTCACCCGCTCTCTCTCCTGACTCGCAACCACTCGGAAGAAAAGATGAGGCAACGTGGTGTGGGACCATGCGTAGGGGCCTGGCCTCGGGCCACAGGAGAGGCCCCAGCACAGAGCGCTCACTGACCACGGCCTGACCAGAACCCCGGTTTTCTGTGTGTGAATGAGCCTGATGCGCTCAGGCAAGAAGCACATGGCGGCCCACTGTGGCTCCTTGTCTCACGGCCTGCAGGAGGGCGAGGGTCAGACCTGGAGAGTAACTGTGGGTGGGCCCGTTGCTGTGCAATTTTAGGAAAGGCAAATCTAGCGTGTGGTGAGAGCAGACGGCCAGTGTTCCCCGAGCTGCGGTGGTGATGGGCTGCAAAGGGCACAGGGCGCATCTGGGGTCCTCGTGGGGCTCCCTGCTGACTGTCCAGGCCCTTCACCCCGTCACTGGGAACGGGCTTCTGTGGTATGTAGATTATACTCCGTAAAGCGGACGCAATCAGGCACCACAGACTGGCTGTTAGTACCTATCAGGAGACCTGTGCCCGCTCGGTCTGTAAGTCAGCTCTTTGTCACTTTCCTGTTCTCTCCAGAGGGTGAAGGGTGGTTCCGTCAATGCGCCCAGGCCCCGACCAGAGCTCCCCGGGCCCCACACCCCACCCTTGACCAGCACCGTCAGGGCTTCGCTCCTCGGACTGCAGGAGCCCTTTACATACTCATATGCTGGGGCGGGGACACACACTCAGGGCCTGCGCCACCTCCGCCCCTCACCACCTCTGCCCCTCACCTCTGCCGTCACCTCCACCCCTCACCTCCACCTTCACCTCCGCCTTCACTTCCGTCCCTCACCTCCGCCCCTCACCACCTCTGCCCCTCACCTCTGCCGTCATCTCCGCCTTCACTTCCGTCCCTCACCTCTGCCGTCACCTCCACCCCTCACCTCCACCTTCACCTCCACCCCCCCCCCCCCCCCTCACCTCCACCCCTCACCTCCACCTTCACCTCCACCCTCACCTCCACCCCTCACTTCCGCCCCTCACCTCCACCCCTCACCTCCACCCTCACCTCCACCCCTCACCTCCATCCCTCACCTCCGCCCCTCATCTCCACCCCTCACCTCCGTGGTTACTCCACCTGCCACCCTGCCCATCACCTCTGCACCTCACCTCCACCCACCACCTCTGCCTGGGGTCTTCCCGGGAAGTAGGCTGGCCGAGCCGGGCACAGACCTCTGTGGGCTCAGCGGGCTTCGCGTGACGTGGCGTGTCCTGCTGCGTAGGTGGAGAACAAGGAGCTGAAGCAGAGGATCCTCTCTGAGGCGGTCAAGTACTCGGACAAGTTCAGCCAGGCCAGCAAGGACTTCTGCGAGGCGCTGCTGGAGAAGGACCCTGAGAAGCGCCTGGGGTTCAGAGACGGGACATGTGATGGGCTCCGTGCCAACCCCCTCTTCAAAGATATTAACTGGAGACAGCTGGAGGCTGGTACGTCCACATGTCTTTGGACCTGGGGGGCTGTGGGGAAGGGTGGGTCCATCGGGAGGTCCAGGCCTGGTGTTAACATACAGGTTTCTTGGGTTGGTGGAGGCTGGATGGGATGCGTGGGGGACATGCTGCTTACCTTTGAACTGAGGATCCAAACCCGCTGCTGTGAATTTCTATGCCCATACTTTTAAGGAGCCCCTGACCCGAGACTGTGCAGAATTCCTCCAGCTGTCCGCTGGGGAGAAACTTGTTCATTCAACCAGCGTGTGTTGTCAGGTGTTGGGTGTGGAATGCTGCACACAGGTGCATGTGTGTGGACATGGCCCCACCCCCAGAGCCTACAGGAGGCCATGTGAACACGGGACTCCCCGCAGGGGCCCGAGGAGAGAAGTTACACTTGCACGGAAGGGGCTCTGCTTGGGGAAGCCAGGAGCCGGGAGAGGCTGGGGCTAGGGTGGGTTCCAAGGCCACTGCATGGGTCTGGCAGGATGCTCAGCCCAGGAGCCGCATGGAAGGGAAGGGCACTAGGGCCGATGGGGATCACGTGGCCGGCATTCTGTATCTGGTATGACTAAGGCACCAGGGCTCCTGAGCAGGTTGGGAGAGATGCCAGCTTTGGAAAGAAAACAGGGAGCTCAGTCCTGAGGCTGCTGGGTTCGAGGTGTCCCACCTGCAGACAGTGAAGCCCCCGGGGAGGCTGGCGTGAGGACGCAGGTCAGACCACACCATCCTTCGCCATGGGCCCCCAGGGAAGTGCATCCAGCCAGGACGCTGAGGCTCTTGCGTCTTGTTCAGTGGGCCGTGGGGCACCTGGAGACCTTTCTTGAGCCGCCGGGACACCCTGGGCTGGGCGACCCTGCTCACTGAGTACACGGCTGTTCCCTTCCATTCACGCATTGTACGTCCTGTGCTCTCTCTCCTCACAGGGATGCTGACGCCTCCCTTTGTCCCGGACTCCAGGACGGTCTATGCCAAGAACATCCAGGATGTGGGCACCTTCTCCACCATCAAGGGCGTGACCTTCGACAAAGCCGATGCGGAGTTCTTCCAGGAATTCGCGACTGGCAATTGCCCCATTCCCTGGCAGGAGGAGATGATCGAGATGGGCGTGTTCGCAGAGCTGAATGTGTGGCGCTCTGATGGGCAGATGCCCGATGACATGAAGGGGGTTGCTGTGGAGGAGGCAGCCTCAGCGTCCAAGTCTGGGATGTGTCTGGTTTCCTAAATGTGTAGGAAAAGGGAGCTCTGTGGCCCACAGGGGTGAAAGCACCTGTGTGAGTCGCTGGGCTCCCGCAGCGCTGTCAGGGGACAGGCAAGGAGTGGACAGATGTCCAGCCTGTAAATAGTCTGTTTCCTTTGCCCCATTTCACTCAGAAAGACACAACAGTGGTTCCCAGATGGACCAGAGCGCCATGCACAACTCAAGGACTCTTGTGGGTGTCTCAGCCAGCAGCGGTGTGTGCCACCAGGGTGAAGGGCTGCTCATACCAGAGGATGCTGTGTGTGTTCCTGGCAGCTTCCCAGAGCCCTGCCCTTGGTGGGAGGCCTTCTCCTGGCTGGCTCAGGGGTTGGCAAACCATGGCCCGTGGGCTCACGGGCACCAGCAGAGAGGCCTGGGTTGTGCCCAGCTCTGGCCCCCCGAGCCGGTCACCGTCTGCATGTTGGTGATGCTGGCATCTGCCAGGTGCTGAACGGTGCAGGCTCCAAGGGGTTGCCTTGCCCAGGCTGCGGCCCAGGTGTCCCGGAAGAGGGGAAAGCATGGGGCGGGGGGGTGAGAGTGACCCCAGCAGTCTCCCCCTTGGCTTTTCTTTGTCCTAAGAACATCTCCAGCTGATGGCACCTGGCCCCACAGCTGCCCACCTCCTGGGCAGATAGCTGTGCGGGAATTCTCTGTCCACCCCGAGCACCTGCTTACCACGCGACTCTGCCTCCCGGCAAAGCCCTTTCTCAAGCTCCTCTCCTGGGCAAGCTTGGGGCAGGCTGGCTGATGGCCGGGGACAGGCCGTCCCCGGATCCCCACCAGCAACAGCGTCTACAGTGGGGTCCTCACCCTTACACAATGTGCCCTCCCTCTGGCCTGAAGCCCCAAGGCACCGTCCTCACCAGCTCCCATGTTTCCAGCTTCACCTTTAACCTCAAAGTTTCCCAAATGCTTTACACATTCTAATGGGAAGAACACTGTAGAGGGGCCTCTCACGATGTTCACTCCTATGTTGGGATTTGGTGGCGTTGGCCTGGGAATCCCATACTGCTCTGAGGGCTCCGGTGGGACCAAGCCCGGGGAGGAGCTGTGGTTTAGGGCCTGTGGAGTACTTTCCAGGAGGGTCTGTTCCTCTCCTAGGGAAGAACTTCTGAGTCCCTGCAGCTCACACATGTGTCACATGCTGGTACAGGCAGAGAGCCACGTGATGGGGCTGTGAGATGCTGGTTGCATGTGTGGATCACATGGGAAGACGGTATCATTTAACTATCTGGGGGGGTTGATGTGGGGACCTGCGAGGGAGCACGAAAGACAGGGTCCTAACCCGTTCTAGTCCCTGTGCTGGGCTCACAGCCTACTTTCCCAGCTGCCTCAGGAGAGCCTACCCCAGGTGTGCAGGGCACCCCCACCCTCAGGCCGTCAGCACAGTGTGCAGGGCACCCCCACCCTCAGGCCGTCAGCACAGAGTGTGCGGGGCATCCCCGCCCTCAGACTGTAAGCACCGAGTGTCAGTACCGAGTGTTGGGGGGCCATTGCCCTCATCCCCATGTGTTTAGGGCTGTGTTACCTGCAGACGTCCGCATGTGGTCTGCTCCCCCCCGCTCAGGGGAACAGGGGCTCTGCAGCCCACAGCCCTGGAGGGTCACTGCTTGGGACCCTCCCTCCTGCTTGGTTCAGGGCTGTGCAGGACGACGCTGTGTCCCCAGCCTCATGTGTGGCACACGGTTGTTCGGGATGCAGCGGCCGGCAGGGGGTGGAGAGAATTGTGTGTGTTCTTCAGAAGAGACGTTATGCACGTGAAGCCTCTGCCTTGAAAGCACCCTTGGACCAGAAAGATCCTTGTGTTCTGGTCGTGTGCGTGGCCCACCAGAGGCAAAGAATGCTCCGGATGGGCCTGGAGAGGTGTCTAGTGCTTTCTGGCATGTGACCTAGAAGTGCCCCTTGGCACGTCCCTGCAGGCGACCCAGGACCAGGGACAAGCTGCTGCGCCCCCCTAAACCAGGACGGTGCACATCAACTAGGTAATGGCCAACGTGTCATTTCTCTACATTTTGGAAAAGAAAGACCTGTTTCTGGCTTTTCTAAACCCATAGAATCTGTCCTAGGTACCCCCTGGACAGAGTGATTCCAGCAGCCATGTGGTTGGAGGTCTGCCCTGCCCGCCAGCTGGGAGCCCCAGCATCTGGCCTCGGGGCCCTGTCTGCCTGGACCACCAGATAGAACAGGGTGTCAGGTGCATCTGGATTTCAGATGAACAGCAAATACTGTTTTTAGTGTGTGTCCCAAATATCGCAGGGGCTGCACGTAGATTCAAATTATTCAGTGTGGTTTGCCAGATCTGCTGTGCCTGTTGCAGATTATAGATGTCATGTGTCAGTAAGTAGCTGGTTATTCCACTGAACTAGCGGGTCTGGTGGAGGTAACCATGACTTCGGCTGCCTCTCAGTCTGTCCAGAAGCAGTCTTTGCCCCAGGGCCCCTACCCCCTGCTCCCCCATTTGGAGGCGACGCTGCACACACTTTAACGGTCTCAAGGCACTGATGTGAGATGCCCAGCCCTTGTGGACATTGCAGCTCCTATGGGATGCTTCCACCCTCCCCCTGAGCGCTCCTGGGGGTCCAGTTGGGGGGATGGTCAGTACCTGGGGGTTTCTTCACTGTCTCAGGTGTCTCTCTGCTATGGGTGGTCTTCCAGGCACAGCCCCCCGACCTGGCACAGTCCCAGGGGTCTGGCTGTCCCACACGCATGACGGTCCTCCCCTCAGCTGTGGCCTGGGTCCAGGGGACACATCGCCCGTCCAGGACGCTCAGCCTCGGGAGGCTGTCAGGACCTTTGAGTCGGCTGCTGGCTTGTCTCTGGCTTGGGGGCTGCCCACACTAGGCCTAAGGGGGGATCCCCTGCAGAGAAGCCGTCCTCACTACCCCTACTGTGTCCTGCACACCACAGCCGCCAACAGTCTTCAGAAACCGGCCTCGACACCCCCACAGGGTGGCTGGCTTCAGGCACTTGGGTGTAGCCTGGCAAGAATCACCTTCGTGGTGGTGGGGGGGGGGTTGTCCAGACATGCGCCATGGTGGCCAGGCAGCAGAGGGACCCTGGAGATCCTGGGATCAGAAGGACTCAGTGCAACTTTTTGTTTGTAAAAAATAAATGCAGTTTCTATTCAAGCAGAAAAAGGCAAAAATAAAAGGTAAACGGAGGATGGATTCTGGATTATGTTTATGATATGCTCGTTATGTTCTTTCAAAGTCACACACGTCTATGCGCATACGTGCACGTATAGCTAGGCAGACACGCCTGTGCACGTGTGCACACACAGGCACACACGCAGATACACATGTGCACACTCGCACGCACACACATGCAGACATGTGCACACATGCAGATACACACTTGCATACAGGTACATGCACACATGCAGATACATATGCACACACTTGCATACAGGTACACACTTGCACACATGCAGATACACACATGCACACTTGCATACGGGTACACACTCGCATACATGCAGATACACATACACACGTGCACACACACAGGTACACACGCCTGTGTATATACACTTGCACACATGCCTATATACATGCACACACACACGCAGACATGCACACACACAATCTGCCTCTCATCTCTTATGACTATCGGATTTTAAAAAATTGCTTGCAGTGCCCCTCTTTGTCAGACTTTGAATTCCCAGGCACCTGGATTTGCACACCTCCACCTGGGCCCCTATCATGGTGCCTGGTGTGGCTTTGGACTGCTACTCACAGCGGTTTGAGTGTTTACAGGTGTAGTCCTTCCCTTTCCACACAGCTGTTTGAGACACTGCGTAAGCAGGTGGCATTGTGGCTGCCCTGGACAGAGGTGGACCAGAGGCCATGCGGGGCGGTGCTGATGGACACAGTGGCTGACAGAAGCTGGGCAGGACGAGCCGCGCTGCGTGCAGGGAAGTGCAGGTGCCGAGTGTTGTACGAGACGCTGCAGAGAAGCATGGGGGCCGTGTCTTTCTCCTGTCTGGGCTCTGCTGTGCACCTGTTGTGTGCCCCTCCCATGCCATGCTGTGCCCACATCTATGACAGGTGCTGAGACGCCCGTCCACCTGGGCGTGCACATGCTTCCTCCATGACCATGCATGACCCAGCACCTGTTGTAAATTAGGCTAGACCCTTTTTCTGCTCGTCTCCATGCAGGGCCCTAGGAGCCTGGGATGAAGAGGGCCTCAGATCAGCGGGGCTGTCGTGGGGGCTCGTGGCAGCTGGTCTGGCTGTCCTTACTCCTGTGGGTGCCACCAGCAGCAGTGTCCTTGATGGTCACTCTGCCTTTGCAGGGAAGGCTGGAGTGGGACTGCCCATCACCCAGAGGGCCGGGAGCATAAGCCACCTCCCCATTTCAGGACAGCACGAAGCCAGCTCTGGTTCTGGGCATGGTGGGCTCTCGTCCTCCCCCCGCGGCACCTGCGAGGGTGGCGCACAGGACACACCTAGGAAAGCTGAGGCTGGAGAGGAGGAAGCAGCCGGCTGACCTGGACTGAGGAGGACAGCTTCTGCCTCCCGGGATCCAGGCCAGGCACCAGAGAGGCTGCCACGGGCACAGAGGAAAGCGGCCCCGGGAGGAGGGGCCCTCCAGCTGCAGGGCCATGAGGGAGCCAGCCCCGGGAGGCAGGGCCTATCAGCAGCAAGGGACCCCCACAGCCCAGCCCCAGCACACCAGCAAGGCTGAGTGGGTCCTGGACCTCCACCCTCCCTCAGCTGTGACAAGGCGCTGCGTCCCCCCACAGTGCGGTGCTGAGGGGCGGGGGCTGAGCTTTCGTCCCCGCCCCCTGGGAACGAGTCCCTCCCCACCCTTCTCCCTGTGTTCTCCCGGTGTGGGCAGCGGTGAGGGAAGTAGTGAGCTGGTGCCCCTCCCCATGGCACTGTGTTGGGGGACAGCTGCCCAGATAGGTTCGTCCAGGGAGAGCCAGGTCGCTAACATGGCACCAGAGGCCCAGGGCGCAGCGGACAGTCACCTGCACACCAAGA